AGTTCCATGCAGCGTGAACATAAAAGATTTCCAAAGTGCACACAAAATAATTCCAAGGTCCAAACAAGAGTCGGGCGTCCACACAAAAGAGTTCCAAGATCAACATAAACGAGTTCCAACGTCAACAGTTACACGAAAGAGTTCCAGCGTCAACACGAAAGAGTTCAAACGCACTGACAAAAGAGTTCCAGCGACCAAACAAAAGAGTTCCAGCGTCCACACAAAAGAGTTCCAGCGTCCACACAAAAGAGTTCCAGCGTCCACACAAAAGAGTTCCAGCGTCTACACAAAAGAGTTTCACTACAGAGTCCACACAAAAGAGTGTCAGCGGCCATACAAAAGAGTTTCAGCGTCCAAACAAAAGAGTTCAAGCGTCTTCACAAAAGAGTTCCAGCGTCTTCACAAAAGAGTTCCAGCGTCTACACAAAAGAGTTTCACTACAGAGTCCACACAAAAGAGTGTCAGCGGCCATACAAAAGAGTTTCAGCGTCCAAACAAAAGAGTTCCAGCGTCTACACAAAAGAGTTTCACTACAAAGTCCACACAAAAGAGTGTCAGCGGCAATACAAAAGAGTTTCAGCGTCCAAACAAAAGAGTTCCAGCGTCTACACAAAAGAGTTTCACTACAGAGTCCACACAAAAGAGTGTCAGCGGCCATACAAAAGAGTTTCAGCGTCCAAACAAAAGAGTTCCAGCGTCCTCACAAAAAAGTTCTAGCGTCCACACAAAAGAGTTCCAGCATCAACACAAAACAGTTCCAGGGTCATCGGAAAATAGTTCCAACGTGAACAGTTACACGAACGAGTTCTAGCATCTACACAAAAGAGTTCCAGCGTCATCAGAAAATAGTTCCAACGTGAACAATTACACAAACGAGTTCCAGCGTCCACACAAAAGAGTTCCAGCGTCAACACAAAAGAGTTCCAGCATCATCAGAGAATAGTTCCAACGTGAACAGTTACACAAACGAGTTCCAGCGTGCACACGAAAGAGTTCCAGCATCTACACAAAAGAGTTCCAGCGTCATCAGAAAACAGCTCCAACGTGAACAGTTACACGAAAGAGTTCCACCATCCTCACAAAAGAATTTCAGCGTCCACACAAAACAGTTCCAGCGTCAACACAAAAGAGTTCCAGCGTCATCAGAAAATAGTTCCAACGTGAACAGTTACACGAACGAGTTCCAGCATCTACACAAAAGAGTTCCAGCGTCATCAGAAAATAGTTCCAGCGTCCACACAAAAGAGTGCCAGCGTCATCAGAAAATAGTTCCAACGTGAACAATTACACAAACGAGTTCCAGCGTCCTCACAAAAGAGTTCCAGCGTCATCAGAAAATAGTTCTAACGTGAACAGTTACACGAAAGAGTTCTACCATCCTCACAAAAGAGTTTCAGCGTGTACACAAAAGAGTTCCAGCGTCCATACAAAAGAGTTCCAGCGTTCTTACAAAAGAGTTCCAGCGTCGTTATACAAGAGTTCCAGCATCCTCACAAAAGAGTTTCGGAGTCAACACAAAATAATGCCAGCGTCCACACAAAAGAGTTCCAGCGTCGTTACAAGAGCTCCAGCGTCCTCACAAAAGAGTTTCAGCGTCCTCACAAAAGAGATCCAGCGTCCTTACAAAAGAGTTCCAGAGTCCTTATGAAAGAGTCCCAGCGTTCTTACAAAAGAGATCAAGCGTCCTCAGAAGAGTTCCAACGTCAAATCAAAATAGATCCAACGTCCTCACACAAAAGTAATAGTCAAATTTATTAGCGTTGGGTAATATATCAAAGAAATCAGTTGCCGAATACCGTTCAAAGAATTGAATGCATTTTTTATTAGGATCATAAAATGGTAGATATTGCATCAGGTTTAAGGTTATAGGACGATTCATCAAGTGTTTTTTCTGGCATAATAATATATGGTTCATATTGTAATTTATCAAAGTAGATGATTGTTGTTGTTATAAAACTAACTACTATGTAGAAACTCCGCAAATTGTTCTTCTGTTGTGAATCCAAAAATTTGCGAATGTTCAGATTGACGCAGTAATATTTTACCATTGACTGTTCACGGATATTTTCATTAAAAATTCCTTTTAATCTCGCTTACGCGGCCAAATATTTTTTTTTTTATAGAGAGTAAGAGCTCGAGACTCACTTTTGAATATACCTTAGCCATGGATGGCAGGTCCTTCGATTGCTTTCCAGCAAGCTTGCTTCTCTTCTGGTAGAGCTCGTCTTTCTTGTCGCGATGCACAAATTTGACAGTAAATATCTCGCATGGCGAGAAATTTTGGACACGCACGCGCGGTAGATTCACAGACTTCGGGAGATTCGAAACAATATGGCCACGCGAAATCACACGGCTTTATTAGGGTTATATTAAAAATGTTGCCTTACCTCTAAACTTTTTAAAAATGTGAAAATGTTCTATCTGATTCTGTTTTTAGACGTAAAACTTGATATTTTGATATCATGGATGATATTTAGATGTTAATACTTTTTGCGGTTTTGCAGGAAATAGCCAACGGCTATTAAAGTATAGAAAAACACCATTTATAGCGTCGAAAGTTGTTTTGACCGTTGAACTTGTAAGATTTTTGCGCGATCGGGCCACGATAACCAAAATGTTCTATCGGTTTTCTAAACTCCGAGCGATGATTTTGAACACCCATCAGTGCAAAAATGTGAAGAATATATATCTCTTGCGGTTTTTAGCTTCAAAATCAGCAAATTTCAACGTTATATTTTCATCAAAACTGACCTTTTTCCCAAAAAAACTCTTCAAAAAATAACTGAAATTGTTTTTCATCGTCCATATTTGCTAGGCAACCAAGCCTTGACTTGTTGCCATGGTTTTAAGGCATATTCGAACTTTTTTTGTCGCATTTTAGGGTATTTAGAATGTGATGTATCGTGTGTATTTCACTTGTGATTCGTTAGAATAAATTAGAACAATTTATTCGTTAGAATAAATTAGAACCCCCCTGTGCGTGTCCAAAATTTCTCGCCATGGTTTACTTTCTTGTCGAGGATATAGCACTGGGCTGTTAAAATAAGTGTCATCTTGAGTGATCTCAACACCAATTAAATTTCCAAGTTCAACCTAAATAAAGTCTCGGCATCCAGATTATTTCAGATTGTCGGGTGCAACGTTAAGAGCATAGTTAGATTCTTCTGCCTCTATTCTTTCAACCAACCTTATCAGCTCTCGCTGTGGAAAAACTTCACGAACTGTCGGAGAAACTACAGGAAGCCTTTACAGCTCCTTGGAAAGACCAACTCTACGTCTAGCTGCGATGTCCGAGATGTGGAAAATTTTTTGAAAGACCAAAACCCACCAATACCAATTATCGGCCAAGTCAAAAGTGCTCTTACACATTTAAATACTAATGGCCATGTTGTTACACGGTGCACTTGCACCTTGCAACGGAATTCTACTTTTAACAGATGTAAATTAGTGAAGAGCCTTCAAAATGTAAGTGTCAGAAACGCCATGGAGTATAACAAAGACGAACGTTTGGTAGTTGCCAAATTTACATCTCTCAAAAGAAGAATTGCATTGTAAGTTGCAGGAAAAATTGCACCGTGTAACAGAGCCTTAAGACAGCAACCGGATCAGACGGAATCCCTGAATCATTGGCAGTGGCGGTTCACAATATATTCAGAGCTAGCATGATAGAATACGGACATCCCAAAGCGTACAAACGTTCCTTCATAAGTCCTGTTCCTAAAGTCAATCCGCCCGAGGAAATATCAAACGATATTCGACAGATATCTGTCTTACCACATCTGGACAAGGTTCTCGAGAGACCGCAACTAAAACTACATACAAACGATCTCCAATTAAATAACACCCAACATGCTTTCAGAGCTAATCGCTTTACAGTCTCAGCTCCTATTAAAATCACCCAAAATTGGTTCAATGCAACTGGAAACAATAGCGAGCAGAAAGGTGTTCTTCGTTTTCATACACTATTCTTCGTTTTCAAGAAAGCTTTCGATATGGTCGACCACCAAAACACAACATCAACAAGAGTTTCCGGATTTGGATCTGGAGTTTTCTCACACAAATGACACAACAGGTCAAAATGCAAAATATCTCATCAACACCCTCACCATGGCCTGCGGGGGTGCCCCAGGGATCAGTGATCTCATCTGTTCTGTTCAATGTGATTATAAACACCTAGAAGATGCTGTATCTGGACATATATCCCTCAGTATACCTATAAGTATGCCCACGACTGCACGCAATGTGAATGTGTAACTTTCAAGTCGAATAGCAATATGCAAGAAGTGATTGATGAAATAACAAAATGGAGCTAAATCCAAAGAAAACCTAAAATATCTGGGTATGCTTTTCAAATAAGATCCCTGAACCACCTAGTATTCGTTGTAGGACGGAAACAATTGAAAGAGTCCAATCGTTTAAACTTCTGGGGTATGGCAACAAAATGATCTCAAATGGAACACTGATGTTCATAATATTTGCCGTAAGGTCTCTGAAAAGCATTTTTATCTATGAGTATGTCACAGATCCAACCTCCCAATAGAAATTGGACTCGCTACATATATTTCAAAAATAAGGTCTATACTGGAATACGCATGGCGTGGCCTCCCAATACTTAGAAAATGAAATTAAACAAATACAGACCAGAGGTATGAAGATTATTGGCCTACCGAAGAACTACCTCCCCACGCTAAGAGTAAGAAGAACCGAAGCAACGAAGAAAGAACTCGAAAAAATCCAATCTGATTGCAACCATCCATGCAGAATATTTTCATCTAGTTTAAAAACTCATAATTACAATCTTCGAAGCTAATCTGGTTTTAACAAAATAATATCAGACTGATACTAAGGCATAAAAGATAATTAATCCCTAGGGGATGTTCATTCACTGTTTAATCGATGTAAAAAATAATACTGTACAATTTGTGAATATTTTAAATGTAAATCCATTGTATAATCCATTATTAATAAACCTCTTCCTCTAAAAAAATTGTTTATCTTCTTCGAGGGATCTGCAGTTAGCCGCTTGTTATCACGCAGTATTTTTTTAAAGTCATCAAATTCATTTGACAAATACTGTTGCGAGGTTTCAATGTCCTTACATTTGGTTGCTAAAACGTTCACGTTAGATCTTAATTCAGCCGGATATTTCGGCTTTAATTCGTTCCTTGTACTTGGTAAGAATTGATTCAGCCATAGTTCTATAATTGCTTCTATAGTTAAACTTTTTTTAGTAGTCATAGCGGAGCTCGTTCTCTGAACACATCTGAACAACATCAACACATGTGACGTCTGGCCAGTATAGCTGGTAGTAATTTATGAATTCTATTGGTTGACACTGATTCGAATGGATTATCATAAAAATATTCGAGGTGGACTTTTAAGGATGGAATACCAAGAGAGTTTAGAGCATCAACGTAATTTTCTCCTATTATATGATTTACTTATCTCCTGGTATATGAATTACTTCAGCATACATCTAGGTCTCTAAATTCTACTTGTTCCCTATATTTAATTATCATGTACAATTGATTGACTTTGCTCTTTAAAAAAACAATGCTTCAAGGCATCCTTAACATACGGCCTGTGTTCAACATTATGACTTATCAGCTCGGAAATAAACTGTCGAGCAGTTAGTGCCGTAACTTTATCCAAGAAAATAGGTTCTCCTTTCAAAATATTTGACATACGTTCTAGTTGAGGGCCAAACGGGTGTTCACCTTTGGTCAAAATAAAGAACGCAATCATTCCGGCAACGTGCACATCAGATTTTCTTTTATAGCGTCCTTTGCTGCCTTCGTTAACTATTTTCTCAATTACTTCCGGTGGCATCCAACCAACGGTTCCTTTCGGTGCGGTTAGAAATGTTGATTTGTCATCATTAGGCACACGACTGATCCCAAAATCTGACAACTGCATACGGCCATCAACGCTAACAAGAATATTTGATGGCTTAAGATCTCTATGCAGGATTCCCTTGTCGTGAAGAACTTGCAGTCCGAGTAATATTTCCTCTATCATTCGGACACCATGTTTCCGTAAATACTCAAGAGAACAAGTCTCAATAACATACTTCTTCAAATTTTCCTCACACAGGTCGATTACCAGGTACATATAAAAGTCATCAGCGTCAAAGTACCAGTAGTTTACTATGTATGGTGATCTAATATCCTTAGTTAGACGGAAGATCTCCAATTCGTTTTGGGCTAAGCGATCAGTTGTTTCTTTTAAAATTCTTTTAACGGCAACTTCCCGTCCGTCCTCCATCAGACCAACATAAACGCGCGTGCCCGGCGATCCTTCTGCAATCTTTAGTGATTCGTCCTTCGAAAAAGATTTCAGAGGTATTTTTGTCTATTTCAAGAGAAGACAAATTGTATATAAGATTAGGAAAAAAACCGAATGAACACCTCCTGTACAAAAAGTTAAAAAAGCGTTTTTAGCAGTCAATTAAAAAACGGCTTCCGCACAAAAATGGATTAGTGAAAACCTGACTGGCCTTTGCTATAGAATATCTTTTATAAGATATTAACGTTTCAGACAATTTGGTGCAGTGAAATTTCGCGTTTTTACTTTAAAGTCTGATTTTCTGGAGATCGACTTAAGATCATTGCATGATTCCTGCTGTAACTAATTTGCACACATTATTAATTGAACATGAGTATGAGTTGTACAGAACAACATTATGAGTTGTATTTCCCCGAAGGGCAAAGTATTGCATGCATATTATTCCCTGTTTTATTAGATTCGTTCGAAAGAGAGTTGAGGTCTGCTCTTCACAGAAAGCAAGGCCCGGTCGACCAACTAATTTGCGAGGGGGGTGTTTTTTAATTCATATATAATCATGTTTACATATCATATAGGAACAAAAGTTTACAAACTGAAATATCAGTCTGGAGTAGTATATGTATATGCTCCACCCCGAAGTTGAGTCGGCTTCTGGAGTGGGTAAGCCTCGATCGGCATCGTTGGCAATGCTGTGGAATATTGTCTGATGTGGAAAACTCTATCTGGAGAGCCATAGCCTGTTCAGTGGGCGCGCAATCGTTAGCTAAGAACATTCTTTCGTTTTAGGTTTGACATGAAATAGTTGGCTAACAACAAAATCCCTCGTTGACTTTTAGGAATAATAATTACCTCTCGTAATTCATTGCAATCCTTGGCTTTCAACAACATAATTTTCTCGCGATGTTTTACGGTAGTAACTTTATCGCCGAGGCTGACGTTTTTTTCGACAAGGCTTGGCTTGCTTCCATCTAAATAGGATAAATGTTTGCACAATTATGCGTCTTTGATAGTTTACCTTCAACGAGATTTAAGAACCCAATATTTCTACATATCACATTATTGTTCAACTGTTGGTTACCATATAGAATGTAAAACGATTTGCTTAGAGATGAGGCCAAATGGCAAATTAACTAGAAAATAACTACACTTATGCAGAATCCATCGAATCCATCGTCATTTTGAACCAAGGGCAAGGAATTATTTTCCTAAACTTGCTTATATATAATAGTTAAAAAAAATGGCTGAAGTTTCAAATCTTGGGGTTTGAAAAAATTGGTGCTCACGCATTGCTAAGGAATATATAAAAAACGTCGAAGTGCATCGATTGAATGGTTACCATTATTGTGGTGATTCGACAAGACTATTTAATTTAGTTTAGTTTAACATTGCAACAAACCTTTCAAAGAAGTACCAGGAAACTCCGAAAAATTGTCTTTTTCCATTAACGTACCATTGGCTTCAGTAAGTTGATCTGCGGTATTTTCTCTGCTGCAAGAATAAAAACGACACGTACTTGCATGATATATAATATTTAGTTATAATCATGATTATATTTTCCAGATAACTTTATACCGGGTTGTATACCCCAGTTGGTCGGGGATTTAGCTCAATATAAAGCGAGTGCTTGGTCAACTTTACGCATATCGCTAAAGAAATTTCATTCATTTTCATGTACTTGTTACTGTACACCAGAGATTGAACAAACAAAAGCGTAAGGATTATTGAATTCTACTTACAATGGTGCAGAGTTTGGTTGAATATCGTCTCCCTATAAATAAATAAAAACTAAGCCAGGGATACAAGGATAGTGCAAAGTTTCCATACTCTCTAATACCTTCTGCCAGTGAAAATATAAAGAGCTAGGTTAAACATTACCCTTTAATCAAACAGGAAATTACTCAAATTACGTTAGCCGCGATATTGTCATTATTAAATTATAATTTCAGACACATTTCAAAGGCGACTTCATCCCCACAAATATACAAAATGTGTATTCGCCATTGATGAGGAACTCTCCTTCTAAAATTTCCTACGGCAACTACGAGTTCTTGGTTAACGTATTTGTCATGGTGGCTGATACCAGGGTGCAGGGTGCAGGGTGGAATTTTGATGTGGCGTGCATAGTAGTCACAAGACCAGCGTCCGAGAGTTTTAATTAGCCACGACGGTAATTTGCCACGAGCTGAAGCTGCTGTTGTAGCTGCGTCAAATCTATAGTTATGACCATGCAGCATAATGTGTCGCATTTAGGCCGGATTTCTGAGCAATGACCTGGTCTCTGAAGTCAGAGTTTGTTCGGTCAGTGCATGGTTTGGCCGGAGGCGTGGATGAATAAAGGACCCACGTGCGGAGGCCGCTGAGAAAGGTATCTTTTCATCGTGCGGACAGGACACAGTAGTGAGGATTTGCATGCTCCAACCGTGATTGTTTAACCAACGCGAAAGGGTTCGGTTTTTGATTCGTTTATAAGGACAGTCATAGAGTCATGATTGTCTGCATGCGAGTTTGGTGTAAATAACACATTCTCACGACACCGCAGAAATTGGTGTTTAAAACCTTGGTCAAACGAGAATGATAGTTGATGAGAGTTGAGAAGCGAGAGTTCGCACGAGAGTTTTCCAAACTCTCGATGCGACGGTCAAACGAGAATGAGAGTTGATGAGAGTTGAGAACGAGAGTTGCAACTCTCATCAACTCTCATCAACAATCATTCTCGTTTGACCAAGGCTTAAGACGTTTCAACTCAAAAAGCTAATCGCTGGTTCACAATTGTGCATTTCTGTACCAGTATCAAAGAGAAACCTTTTGAATATCTTAAAAAAGTTCAATTTTTCTTCTGAATGCGCATTCTGCAATCTTTTGACAGCTCATCATACACATCTGACAGCTGTGAAATTGCAATGTTGAGGCTTAAAGTATATACACAAGGTTATTAATTCAGACGATTCGTTCCTACCGTGTCCAAGCTTCAAATCTTTTGTGTAAGATATATTTTCTTAAATATTTATAAATCTTTTTCCTCATCAAGTTTGAAGTTTAGTCTATAACAATTTTTGCAGTTCTTGGAATTTGTAATTATGAATTCGGAATATGCATATTGATACAAAGCAATATACTTATAATCAATACTGTATACCGCCAAAATTATTTGATTACTGCACCAAATGTGTGTTTTGTATAGTATTAATAATGCACTGCATGCAGAATATCAGGTATCGAAATAATATACAGTGGGGGTCAAAAGTCAGAGTCCAGTCGACAATTTTTCTTGATTTACAATAAATGATATCTTGTGAGTTGGAGATTGGATATGTTGATCTGAACTTACGTATTTTATGATAGTAATGCCTCCGATAGATTTCACGTTAATTCTCAAAGTCTTTAAGTTGAATAAGAAATGCGTATTATTCTTTTTTGTGGACCAAAATGGCAAAGAGAGGGCGAACAATGTTTGAATGTCTCGAAAAATTGAGGTGAGGTTATAGGGCTATGTGACAAAGGAAAAGTTGGAAACGTTTTGTCAATCAGGTTCGTATTCAATTAAATGAAAATCTATTAGACCAAGGGCTTCTCCTGCAGAGGAAGATGGAAAAAAAAAGTAGAAGCAAAACCACTGCAACTTCCTTAATCAATGGTAGAATAGAATTAATAACAAAACTAGTTCATTCTATGCCAGAAGAATTCAAAGCTGCATGTTTTGAACCGTAAAAGAGGTCATACAAATATAATTAGAACGCCGCCAGTGTGTTTTAAATCCTATATCGTGATTGTATGTGTTGTAATCATAATTATGGATTTATCATAAAGACCATACACAAAATGGCTTTATTCTACTTAAAACTACTGTACCGATTACGCTGCAGTTTAAAATAGCGGGGACGAAAATGTCCAAAAAGTCCCACGGGCTCAAGTGCCTCAATACGCCATAATTTTATAACATAAAGTTCATATGAGTATGCACATGCAGTGCTGTCATTATATCTATACGACATCATATTGACAACTCAGACTTTTGAACCCCACCGTATATTGTTGACGACCCCTTTTTACAAGAATCTTTTAAATATTTCCAAGCGGGATCGTCGGGGTCGTATGGGGAACAGCGTGAGAGTAAATAAACACAACAACGAGTTTAGCTTCTTTTTGTATATTTTTTCATTAAGTCATCAGCTCTACTCCGATCACACAAACTCGTCATTTTCAAACGTCCTTAAAATTAACAGCGCGGGTACAGCATCGGCCCATTCAAAAAATGAGTAAAATATCAAAAACTTTTCGCATTTTTCTCGCTTCCATAACTTATTTAAATTATTAAAATATAGTCAGTAGTCATTGTGCGTGAAGTTGCCTACTTTAGGATATATTATACTATATAATAACTAACTACATTGCCTTGTCAGACACGCAAGTCGCCCGTTGTAAGTAACAGGATTTAAGTATATTAGCATGTAAATAAATGACATATGTGTGAATTTCATCAAAGTGTACATTTTTAAAACAAATAAAACCATTCGCCATTGGGCTGCCTATGATTATTTAAGCTTTTGCACGGCAAAGCTAGAAGCCGGATAACTTCGTAATAACGCAAAAAAACAAAAATCGCCGCGAGGAATTCGTAGAAAAACCTTATAAGAATAACATATTTCAATTTTATTTTAAAATATTAAAAATCCGCTTGCAGAGAAGCTTGAAAGTGACCCCCTATGTTCAGCTATGGATTTGTTGTAAAATCGCGATTCACGCGATCTGATTGGCTTAGAGCTAAAACGTAAACAAATGCGCTGATTGGCCCAAAACGAAATTAATTCCCCCTTGTTATAATAAAATATATATATTTATATATAGGAGTGAATGTCGCTTACCAACATTTCTTCCTCTAACCGCGGTACCTCTTCATCCAAGTCTCTCATTCTCTTATCTTGTTGCTGATGGCGCTTTTTGAAAGTCTTTTGTAGAAGAACATATAACACTGACACCTTGCATATATATTATCCACAAGTGAACACATGGCTCAAAACAGTATAGAGTAAAACACACACACAATTTATATATATATATATATATATATATATATATATATATATTTATATATATATATATATATATATATATATATATATATATATAGTCCATGTCAAAAAGGTTGTCCCTTCATATAGTAAAATAGCTATATATGTCAGACACGTGACTACATATGTGGAATAATTATTGAATTACGAATTCATATTTGTCAACATTATTTTTAATTTTACATGTAAACTTTGCGAAAATCTCGATCTATTTACTGAACTCGACTGAAATTCGATATAGTGATATTATATGAAAATTCATGCGTGCATTAGCAAAACCAAACATCAGCTTACACTTTCCTGCATTTGAATGAACAAGTATAAATAAATATTCTCATGCGTGTATGACGACATATGAACTATTCTCTCGTGTAAGCATTTTGTCTTTCACACACTGACTCAAACTCATCGAATATTTCTAGGCATCTAATATTTTTTATTGGATGTATACTGCATGGGGAGGCATATATTTAGACAAGGTTTCGAGCCCCTATATCTTTTTGTTCTCAAAAAAAAGCGTACTGAATTATATAGTAGAGGTTGTTCGAGTAAAATAAATGTTAAATTAATAAACCCACAGCTGTACATACATATAAATATTTGTTAAGTTGCTTGTTTACTATAAATTATAGCCTATATGTTTACTCGAAGTCACATGAATTCACAGCGTATATAGCGTAATCGTAAAGTGTAACACACAATTAGCATAACAACAACTGAAAATGAATCCTTGCATGAAAGAATGGTAATATATAGTTTAGTCTCGACGAAATATGTAATGTAGCTATAAGACTATATATGTTTCATCTTAGAAAATATATCTCCTGATACCGAACCACTTGAATTTTTCCATGCATGCATGTATTCTGAAACATGCATGCATATATAGATAGGTATAATAAGTTTCATTAATCATGGAGTCAAATCATTGAGCACATTGCATAATATACAGTAGATTAAAGGATTAATGAAAGAAGTATATTAATCAACATTGAGGTTTGCCTTGCCATTACAATTAATGTACGGACAGTACTTTTGCATGACAATAAACATATAAACATATAACCAACAATAAACATATCCATAAAAGTTAATAAACCAGTTAATTTATTCCATATATGTGGTCACGTGTCAGATATAAATACATATTTTACTATATGAAGGGACAACCTTTTTGACATGCACTATATATATATATATATATATATATATATATATAAATATATATATAAATATATATATATATATATATATATATATATATATATATATAAATATATATATATACACCCGTTTGCAAAAACGTTGGCCGCAGATAGATATATAGATAGATACCCTAAATCTAATTAGAATTGCATATGTTGTGTAATATCATTGAAATTCCATGAAAACGTAATCATATGCAATTCTAATTAGACTTCGAGTATCTATCTATCTATCTGCGTTGACTCGTTTGATTTTTCGCCACTCATCAGAACAAAAAACGGGGTGTCCAAAATTAAGGTCGCTTACCCTGATTCTTTCCCTTAACCGTTCAATTATGTCACTCCTTTTCTCATGTTGTTGCTGCTCTTTGAACTCTAAATTTAAAGTAAAAATATGTGAATTTTTATATAATAATATTTTTTAATTTTGACCAATTTAATATGGAAATAAGTCGGAACACTAAAACGGGGCTACTATAGGGCATGACCGGCAGCCTCGTTCTTGTGTTATTGCTTTTTTCACACTTGTTTGTACAAATGAAAAATTCGTTTTCATGCGTGTGTTGAAGAAGGATGTTTTGCATCTTTGTAAATAACTTGTGAGAGTATAACTTGAAATCCATCTCAATTAAGGTGGTCCTAAATTTAAAACGGTAATGCTGTGACGTAATTATCGATATATATCGTCTATTATAATAGTATATATTATAATCCATTGTTTTTCTCGACCCTTACAATAGTGACATTTAATAAATTTTGTGAGTGAATCTCCTGCAATAGAACGATGGCAGGCAAACGTATAAAAATTGCATCAATACTTTAAAATATGATATTTATTGTAGCATTGCGAGACTCGTGTTATTGTCGATATATCCCCTAATTGCTGCGGGGGCGAGCGAGCCTGAAGCGAGCGAGCGACGCAGCAGATTCTAATTTGTGTAGATGGGGATTTTTATCTCAAAACATTCTAGCGCAGTGCATTGTGGTCATGCGCGATCGGAAATGCGCAGGCAGCTAATTTTCCCTAGTGTTTCCAAATAAAGGCGATCGGAAATGCGCAGAAGCTATTTTCCCTAGTGTTTCCAAATAAAGTCTTACAAAGATATGATTTAATTCACTGTTCACTGTTCAGCACAATTTCGGAGTTTCATAGTTCGTCTGTGCGTTAGGAAAATATTTTGACTATTCAAGGTAAGATATTTTCATCTTTCGTTAATATGTTACGTTTACAGTTGTTTACAATTTTAACTTTTATATTTATGAAACGCTAAAAGCATACAATCGATCACATGCTGTTTATATTATACGAACTTAATATTATATGCGGCTTGACGCTTGCGAGTCGTGTTTAATAACATGACACAGTCGCAGATAAAATATGCAATTGATCGTCTAAATTGCCTGACTGAATCATTCAGATTCTTGCATATTAGGTTACTGTAAGCATAGGCATATGTTTTTATTCCTATTTTACAATGAGCTAAATATTTTTATTTAGTGCTTTTACCGGATCTTCACGTGGTTTCTGATTACACGTCTTCTCGAGCGCGTTCAAAGTTCAAAGTATTAAGTGATGTTTTGTTACTCTTCACATGAAGCCAAACATTTACATGGACTCTTACAACAAAGACAAATAGCATATTTCAAAAACAAATATCCATGTTACCAAAAAATGTTCTATTTTGTTAAACATGTGCTACTGCTCAGGGCCTGTATTTTCGCTAGGCGGAATTTTTGCGCCCAAACAATATTTTCCGCGCGGAAACTGAAAAGTACAATACTTTCAACTTTTTTGCGGGGAAAATGTCGCTACGCGCGCAAAGTTCTACCTAATATTACTATTATTGTTAATACTCCTGTTGTGATTCGTATGTTAAAATATTTTTAAAACTAGCTGCTTCTAAAGACTTTGACTTCAACGAGCTGCAACTCGCAAGACAGCGTTCTCTCCTTTACCCTTCGACAGCGGGAAAAACACTCCCGGGACTATCCAACACCGGGGAAATTGGTATTCATGACACTGTAAAATGGCTATTTTCAGACGATTCGTTTTTGCCGAGTGCAATCTACAAATCCTTTGGGCAATTGAACATTTGTAAATCTTTTTGCTTTATAGCAATTTACTCGCGAAATCATAATATAAACCAGCCTATTTCAAAACAATTTCAAGATAAAAGTTAGAACTTGATATAGCATATATTGACCTACATATTGAAGTCATTGACAGTGTTCTCGCTGACAGGTATTAATTAATGTACAGCCCCAGCGAGTTAACGAATAGAGGTTCACTTTGCGTGTTTTTAAACCTGCTATTGCTATTAAATAAAACGGATTTAGTTTACTAACATTTCACATAACAATTCACTTTGACCCTAATATGCTCGCAGCAATCCCTAACCTAGTATCTAATAATATCCTCAATCTCGTTTTATTAGCATATCGTAAGAGGTCGAATTTTCTGAAAACATTTTATTATAATCTAACGAATGTTACTAATAAAAATATCTTGCAAGGCACTGGTAATGAGCACCTAAAAGAGGTTCACTACGATAATTTTAATTTGACGAAATGCGAACAAATACTAACGTCTTTCTTGGCAAAATTCTATTGCTTCGGTAATATATTTGAGCCACCTAAAAAAAGAAATTAATTACTATATTATATTTTGGCTTGTAACGATTTTAAACATTTGATGCATATCTCTTTCAACAGTGCAATATAATTAAAGAGTAAATGCTATATGTTTGAATAATCAAAAACCTGACCATGTTATAATAAACTGCATAAGAAGAAGTTAAGTCCGTTATGCGTATGTGCTAGGCTGGGCGAAGCTCTCTGATATAAACAACGATTTAAAATGACAGCGAACATGTACAATGTTTCATTTCTACTAAGTAAATCACATTCTATCTGATAAAGTCTGCTCGAAATAGAACTGACAAAATGCATTTCAAAAACAGAAGCTGTTCTCCGTTTTTGTACTGACTCAATTTTGTACGGAATGATTCATGCCTTCCCCAGTGAAAGTTACTTTTGTTCAAAATATAAAGAACCTTTGCCCTATTAACTCCTTAGCTTAACATGAAGGAAACAGGCTTCATGGAGCGAAGAACAAAAATACTCTCGTGGCACTGTCAAAGCCCTTTTGGTCTTAAAATAGGTTCTTACGCTTCTCGTTCAACACTTGTTTCGGCAACCAATTCGTAAATCTGAGGTCCAATGTCGGACGTTCCAACAACAAAGAAAGCATTTTCATCTACAAAAAAGTAAATGAGTTATATAAAAGAAGGATACGTTTTGTAACAAAGTAATGAGTGAAAAATAATTTAATGTTCATCTATAACTGTATCATCTTTTGCTAAATTATAATATAACACGCTTTTCAGAAAGATTACAGCGATTGTTTCATCGCAAGAAAGAACTCGATTGATAATGTGATCAGTTAAGTAATACCTCTGGCAGAGTTTCTCGTATGTACCGTTGAGAGCTTCAAAACAGGGCTGCGTGTTGTCTAAGTACAAAACATACAGTGCTGTGCAAAAGTTTTAGGCCCCAAGTCAAATTGTCACCTGTTAGTAAAATTCATGGTATTGCAAGACATGCTAGGTAGAAAGACTTGTAGTGTTCTTGCACTTGGTACAGCCACCATGAGAGACCATTATTGCGGCACAATGCACAGTCATTGGCCTAACAAGCTTGTTTGTTACATCTGGATCAACAGCCTCACTTGATACGAAAATGGTCTCTTTGATTCTTCCAGATGTCGAGATGGTCTTCTATCTGAACTCTTCCTCACTAATTTTCAAAAATGTTCAATGAAGTATACGTCAGGCTCTTTCTGTATAACATGGTGCCCCATCTTACTGGAAGATATAATCTCCACCACAAAGCAATCTCATCTATTAGGAAAGTTCTAGATACAAGGCAAACATACCATTTTCCGTATCTAGTCGAAAATTTACGATCTTGGAACTTTTTAAAAGGTGGAGAGAGCTTTGCGGTTGAGACTTTATCTTTGAACAAGATAGGGCACCATGTGACAAAGAAAAAAGCCCCACAGAAAGAAATATCAATCAGTACAGGGCAACGAAAAAATTCTGACCTAAACATGTTTGAATATCTTTGGGAATAAGTGAGGAAGAGGTCAGATAGAAGACCATCTCGACATCTGGAAGAATCAAAGAGACAATTTTCGCATCACGTGAGGCTGTTGATCCAGATGCAACAAACAAGCTTGTTAGGCCAATGACTGGGCATTGTGCCGCAATAATGGTCTCTCATGGTGGCTGTACCAAGTGCAAGAACACTACAAGTCTTTCTACCTAGCATGTCTTGCAATACCATGAATTTTACTGACAAGTGACAATTTGACTGGGGGCCTAAAACTTTTGCACAGTACTGTAGTTTAACAACAACCCTATAAAATTAATATCACTTGATGCAATGTTGACTACAGAGTAGTCTTCAGGGTATTTAGATCAGTGTGTTGAGAATTCTCCGTACAAATCAGTTTGGGATGCACTTCCAAAAAGTCCAGTATCAGACTCATTATAATGGTTATTTTATTCGGGAGCATAACAGACTTGCATGGCAATGTACCTCACAATGTCACATTCAACTAACAAATCCACCTAGGTACATGGTAACCAATAAAATCAATAAAATGAATAATACAATTTAAGACTTGTACATTCAACAGACTCGGCGTCGCAATAGTATTATATATTTCACGCCTCGTCACTCACTTTATCATCTTCATAACCTCTCATACTAATGCTCTGGCATTTCAAGACATATTTATCATCTTCTTTTTGAAGTAATACCAGGAGATCTTTAAATAACAGCGCGTGTAGATCTACGAAAAATAGAAATGCAATTATAAAAAGACAAAGCTTTTCATAAATTATGAGATGAACAGGGCCTACCGATGTGTTTCCTTTCATTCAACCTCCATGTCAGAGGACCATCAAAAATTAACTTGTGTCGTGTTATATCTAGATTCTGGAAATAGAAATATCATGATGTTAATGATGTTATATTATCATCCCGAAACTTTCCTCTGCTACTGACATTTATAATATTTATTAAAAATAGAGAGCAGACTGCGGGACGTTGCCAACAACCAAGTACATAATTATTAACCTATCAATCAGTTTTTCACTATGTTAAAAATCGCTTACACCTTTCAATATTAATTGCATGCATAGTTTATGTCAAACCAATAGAGCGAGATTACATTGCCAGGGATACAATTTTCGCACCTTAAACTCTTCTGCTCCCTTATAATTTGATTTTTCAAACGGTGTTTTGTCGATTTTCCGGCTGAAATCCACTAAACGCTGTAAAAGCACAAGAGAAAGTCAATTGGGGAAATTGACAAAAACTTATTAGTGCAACTTATATTGTACAAAACCATGACGAAATCACTACAAGTTTGAATGTTGACTGTGAAGAGCAAGTCTAAACATTTACACAACATACGAATTTCACATACTGCTAATTGCAAATCCCCAAACATGAAATTCATTTGCCTGATTTTTTGGATCTAAGAGCGATCTATCTAACCAGATGGCAACGTTGAAAACCTATTTCCTGATGTTTAATAGTTTTGGTAACATCCTGAAATACCATTGAGGATGCAATCACAAGCATGCAGGGTTAATTCAATTACTTAGGTCCAAGTTTTGGCTCAATTTGCTGACTAGGTAATATAAAGCGTTAAAAAAACGACCCCCCACTGTTGGATGTAACCAAACTTACACAATGATCATCAAGATTTGGTATTTTATGACGAACGAAAGAATCTTTGTATACGTCGAGGTTGTGCACTTCACTTTCAAAATCACTAAATTTTGACATAACATCATCGTCTTGTTGTTTCCACTCTTTCAATCTTTCAATATAACTTTCTTCTTCAGGGCTAAGAGGAGCTAGCTTTAATTCATCAATATCATTTTCAGGAATCCCCATGTTGACTAACAGAACAGAAATCTCATTCCACAATGTTTCAAACGTTACGTCGTCCAAACCAGCAGTCGGAATATGACCATAGACTTTATTTTTAAACATTTGGACTCTTAAAATATTTGCAGATATAGAAATATCGCTGACTGGAGGCATCACATTCCATCCGGTGGCTGGTGCAGACAATCCACAAATATTTCGGAGCAGGACAGTCAACAGGGTAATATCAAAGTTGTTTGAATCTGGAGCACCAGATGTTGGAAAGAGTAGATCCCATTGCCAGGCTTTAATTACACTGTATCGTATTCTCTGCAAGGTCTTCTTGTTTGCATTCAGTACAGACGCCAAGGTGGAAGGTGGATGCACCGCATGCAAAGCATTTCTCAAAGCATTTGTAGTTTCATCTACCAACAAATGACATACCCTGAAATAATTAGCTTTGGCTTTCAGTGAACGGCTTTCCATTGTTGTTTTCAGATATTAAAATTCCTAAACCAGAAGGAAGAAGAAAATGTCAGGATGTTATTTCTTATAACACTGTTATTCGAAGGATATTGTAATGCTTACTCAATCAAGCGTGGAAATATGGAATTCTACCTCATTTTCGCTAATCTACTTTAGAATTTGGGAGCTAGTCATAATGCAGCAAGTTACACGAACCAATCAAAATAATTTATAATGAAAAGAGATGTTTTCGATTCGGTTAATGTGTTATCGTTCTCAGCTGTTCGGGAACTTCCGTTCGGATATGTTAATCGGAACATATTATACAGGGTGTCCCAAAAAAAACGAAAACTATTGAAATCACTCATTGTTAAAATTTGAATGCCGTGTGCACGAATTTTAGCCCGTGGGGATTTAATGCAACTCAGTAAAATGCTAAATGTTTTGTGTTGCTAGAGAAAGGGGACATGTCGAAGGTCATGGTGATTGAGAAGCACATTTAAATATTGTTAATAAATATCATTTTCGCGTACGAGCAAATTTTACTGCATCATATGCATGCATAAAAATGCTTATGGCAAACATTTACACACTTGTGGGTCCCAACAGAGTGCTTAGGCATTCAAACTCTAACAATTACATTGTTATGGGTGATTTCAATAGTTTTCGTTTTTTTGGGACACCCTGTATAGTTATAGAATATATCTTATATTAACCTTGAATTAAGCAACCGAAACTCTAATTGATATGATTTTGAAGCTTGATTTTCATTTTCAGAATGAATTTTCGCCCTACTCACGGTACTGTTTAGAAATAACCTAACAAGGAACTGGGGGTAAAATCTTATTTATAACAAGATATGATTCTATTACTAAAATAGGTTTTACTTTCATCATATTTTACGAGCGTCTGTTAGGACGTTCGACAACACAAACGTTTTGTTCGATAGGCACCAATTGTTTATTCAGTTCAATTTATCAAAACTATACAATGCGAAGAAGAAAAACTACTTTTCTTCACTGGGAAAATTATATTGTCCCAGACAATTATATTGTCGGAAAATTATATTGTTTCGCCTTAAGTCGAAATAATTTGTCTTTTACAATATTAAAAATAGAATTATATCAATATATCATAATTTATCTATAATAGGGAATGTTTCACATTGATTAATGAATCAGAATAGGTCAATTAATACCACAAAAACCGTAGCTTATATTAATTCCCAGGTTGACGATCTTGTCAAGATCTTGTCAAGATCCTGCCAAGATATTTATTTAATAAGATCTTGGCAAGATATTTATAAGATCTTGGCAAGATGTGAAAATCTTGGAAATTCTTGGCTGAAATCTTGTATCCTCTTGCCAAGATCTTGGCAAGATTTTGATATGAATATCTAGATATTGTATTAAAATAAATAATATGTAATTAGAACAAAAATCTTCTCATGCGAACAAGCTATTGTTCTTATAAACATTGGAGTTCATTAAACCCTTGATTTTGCTAAGATCTTGCGAAGATCTTGGTATGATCTTGCCAAGATCTTGGTATGGTCTTGCTACATATGATTTTAGTGTGATCTTGCTAAGATCTTGGTATGATCTTGCTAAGACCTTGGTGTGATCTTGCTACATATGATCTTAGTATCATCTTGCCAAGATCTTGGTGTGATCTTGCTAAGATCTTGCCAAGATCTTGGTATGGATTCTGCTATGATCTTGCCAAGATCTTGGTGTGTTCTTGCTCAGATCTCGGTAGATCTTGCCAAGATCTTGGTATGGATTTTGGTATGATCTTGCTAAGATCTTGGTATGATCTTGACAAAATCTTGGTGTGATATTGTTAAGATCTTGGTATGATCTTGCTAAGATCTTGGTATGATCCCCGTGATCTTGCCAATAATCCAGCATGATCTTGCCAAGATTTCCTTATGATCTTGCCAAAACTTCACGGCGATCATTCCAAGATTTCATGGTGAACTTGTCAAGATTTTACCGTGATCAAGCAAAGATTTTACGATGATGGAAGATTCTTCCATCATCTTGCATGGGACAAATCTTATGGAGCAAGTTTCTTGCCTGCCAGTTTAATTTCATTATCACATTCTAAGTACCACGAACGTCAATAATCACAGCTGGTATCAATTACATTCGTGCACGCTATGGTTAAATTGATAACATACCTCGCCTGCGGCGCCACATATTTTGAAATTTGAATATTCACGCCGTTGCTACCGTTGGCGCAAAGGCGCAAGAAGCACGGATTTTACAAACCAACGCACATAAAGTATCATTCGAAAGCCAAGTAACATACAGATGGTTCTCAACTGAAGTGAATTAGTATTGGTATGAAAAGAAGGAATGACTTGTAACAACGGGTAAGTGGTTTAGTATAAACACGATAAAATTAATTTACTGCGGATTTGTATGCTGGTAGCATAAACTGGTTTTGACTTTTGTTTTGTAGTTTTAGTTACATTTAAAATTGTATAGGTTTACCGGCGGCAGTGAAGGAAACGGGCCACACTATCTCGTAATATAGCATTTTCATTATCGTGAAACTATAGGACTATAAATGCAAGATGTAGTTTAGCGTTGGCTGGATGGGATTTCATTCAAATAAAGCCTTCATTATTTTAAACATTCGAGCCCGACAAGGACTCACTTCTTCTCATTGGATGCATTATGAATATTGGTAGGTTTACATAATTACGGAAAATTCACAAAAAATTTTCATAGGGAAGAAGATTCGCTATGTTCATGCATTCTCAAGTTATTTGAGAACTTTTCTTGAAATCACAAAATATAACAAAATAACAGGTTGTAACAAAATAGGGCATAAAGCAGATGTAAAATATTCAAAAAAGATCTATTATGTATCATGATTTTAATGATCAAATATTCTTCTAGTGGCACAACCGTATGAACTTGATGAATATCAAAGCCATCAAAGTGCGCAATCAAATTGCTGAGCCACATCTTCACTGAAGGCTGAAGCTGAGATGCAGGACAGAATCCTATGTGACAGAGTCCAGCAAGCAACGTTTGGTAAGAAGTTAATATATTATGCTGATCAATACATGTCCAATAAATTTACCTAAATTCATGGCAAGGCCTTAGACGCAGGGTAAAATATATGCATACAGCATACTATGTTTTATAACTTATAGGAGAATATTTTTTTAACATTTAGATGTACTCATGCAATATCAAGTTTGGCGAGGACAGGGTAAAAAAGTCACACTCACACCAAGAACACCAAGTGATCATGGATGCTTCACATAGGTAGAAAAATGAAGAAAGAAAAATGAAGAAAACATGAAGCGATGTAATAAACACCACAGATGATAAAACAGAACAGTAACAAAACAATACTTTGATTTAACGTTTTTGCATGCCCTTAATCTTACTGCAACAGGGTGTATCTATGTTTTTTCTCTAATCAATCTAGATCTTGCCATGGTTTTGCAGGATCTTGCTATGGTTTTGCAGGATCTTGCCATGGTTTTGTAAGATCTTGCCATGGTTTTGTAAGATCTTGCTATGGTTTTACAGGATCTTGCTATGGTGTTGCAGGATCTTGCCATGGTTTTGCAGGATCTTGCTATGGTTTTGCAGGATCTTGCCATGGTTTTGCAGGATCTTGCTATGGTTTTGCAGAATCTTGCCATGGTTTTGTAAGATCTTGCCATGGTTTTGCAGGATCTTGCCATGGTTTTGCAGGATCTTGCTATGGTGTTGCAGGATCTTGCCATGGTTTTGTAACATCTTGCCATGGTTTTGCAGGATCTTGCCATGGTTTTGCAGGATCTTGCCATGGTTTTGTAAGATCTTGCCATGGTTTTGCAGGATCTTGCCATGGTTTTGCAGGATCTTGCCATGGTTTTGCAGGATCTTGCCATGGTTTTGCAGGATCTTGCTATGGTGTTGCAGGATCTTGCCATGGTTTTGTAACATCTTGCTATGGTTTTGCAGGAACTTGCCATGGTTTTGCAGGATCTTGCCATGGTTTTGTAAGATCTTGCCATGGTTTTGTAAGATCTTGCCATGGTTTTGCAGGATCTTGCTATGGTTTTGCAGGATCTTGCTATGGTTTTGCAGGATCTTGCTATGGTTTTGCAGGATCTTGCTATGGTTTTGCAGGATCTTGCTATGGTTTTGCAGGATCTTGCCATGGTTTTGTAAGATCTTGCCATGGTTTTGTAAGATCTTGCCATGGTTTTGCAGGATCTTGCTATGGTTTTGCAGGATCTTGCTATGGTTTTGCAGGATCTTGCTATGGTTTTGCAGGATCTTGCTATGGTTTTGCAGGATCTTGCCATGGTTTTGCAGGATCTTGCCATGGTTTTGTAAGATCTTGCCATGGTTTTGCAGGATCTTGCCATGGTTTTGCAGGATCTTGCCATGGTTTTGCAGGATCTTGCCATGGTTTTGCAGGATCTTGCTATGGTGTTGCAGGATCTTGCCATGGTTTTGTAACATCTTGCTATGGTTTTGCAGGAACTTGCCATGGTTTTGCAGGATCTTGCCATGGTTTTGTAAGATCTTGCCATGGTTTTGTAAGATCTTGCCATGGTTTTGCAGGATCTTGCTATGGTTTTGCAGGATCTTGCTATGGTTTTGCAGGATCTTGCTATGGTTTTGCAGGATCTTGCTATGGTTTTGCAGGATCTTGCTATGGTTTTGCAGGATCTTGCCATGGTTTTGTAAGATCTTGCCATGGTTTTGTAAGATCTTGCCATGGTTTTGCAGGATCTTGCTATGGTTTTGCAGGATCTTGCTATGGTTTTGCAGGATCTTGCTATGGTTTTGCAGGATCTTGCTATGGTTTTGCAGGATCTTGCTATGGTTTTGCAGGATCTTGCCATGGTTTTGTAACATCTTGCCATGGTTTTTCAGGATCTTGCCATGGTTTTTCAGGATCTTGCCATGGTTTTTCAGGATCTTGCCATGGTTTTGCAGGATCTTGCCATGGTTTTGTAAGATCTTGCCATGGTTTTGTAAGATCTTACCATGGTTTTGCAGGATCTTGCCATGGTTTTGCAGGATCTTGCCATGGTTTTGCAGGATCTTGCTATGGTTTGCAGGATCTTGCCATGGTTTTGCAGGATCTTGCTATGGTTTTGCAGGATCTTGCCATGGTTTTGGAGGATCTTGCCATGGTTTTGTAAGATCTTGAGCGCATATGTTGCATGGCAACCTGATCCACATGCAAAATTTATTGACACTTTTTCGATAGACTG